CTACATCAGAATTTATTTTGATACATTATTCGTAAACATACACATCTAACAAACTGTGACACGAAGAAGGGAAGGAAATTAAACTAGTTCAATTAAAATATGGGCACTAAAAATTAAAATGTCCTCTAGCTTTTTACCATTGTCCTCGGGAAGTATAGAGTTTTCTGGTGCATGTACTTTCCAACAAACTTTCAACGTTTACATATCCTTGGAACTACTTGATTGTAGCATTAGAGGACCTTCTTTCTTCCTTGTTTTCTCTATGTATTCCACTTCTTAGACAAACACATCTTCGTAGTTTCATCGTCAATATCCAGAGCCACTGCCTCCGATGATTCCAAATCTCTTCAATTGATTTGGAAGTCTACTAAGAATAGTAGATTTGCTCGGTGTTTTCATTCGGTGTGATTCATCGTTAGAATATTTGCATTTATCCCCAAGCTTACACCCTTCACCAGAAAAATAGCGGCATTTGGCTTCCCATTTTTTGCATCCCAATCTGCTACCGCTTTACCTTGTAAACTCATTACTCAGATAAAATCTCATTGATCTCCATTTCATTTTGCACATTTTCTGCGCATCTTAATGGTGGTGCTGATTTTTTTGTCAACGCCAGCGAACATGAACATCACTTCAAGGGATATTCCTCAGAGTTTTTTATCCGTAGTTTGCGGTTGTTACTGCTTTTGCAAATTACTATCGTTTCTTCTCCAACTTTTTTTACATGAAGCATAATAACCTAATGGAAACCTTCGAATTCAACCGGCGGATCTATAAGGACTGCAGTAAATCGTATTACCATCCCAACCACTAAAACAAACTAGCAACCTGCTACGAAGCACTTCTATATATTGCTTCTTCCATGGTGTCATATTGGATTGAGTTTTTGTATCTTGAAAACTTCTTCTCTTTCCTTAACAACCCGTAAATCCTTACACTTAAATCTCATCTCCCATTTCATGAAGTTTTCTTACAACCGTTCGATTAAATCATTATTAGCCGTTGGATTAGCTTAAATGGAGTACATGTACATATAATATCCTTGTAACTTTTTTTTTTCCCTGAACAACAATAATATCCTTGTAACTATGATCATCTTATATACTGATTTTAAGAGTCCCAAATGTTTGATCGGCTTGTGGGTTTTGTGGTCTGAGTTCTATATAATGTGGATCAATAGGTTGTAAAATTGGATTAGTGGAAGTGAACTTGGTATATGAGATATAAAGCACTACTAGATTTGGCCTTCTCTTTCTCTTGTGATTCTACTTATGCTTGTGTGGTGACTGACTTGGTATCAACGCTATGATCCTGTGTAGCTAACAGAAGGGGTCAGAGTAGACCAATCACAATGCCACTCATGAAACTAGCGTGTACTGCACTCGAAAGAATTCCATGAAACTAGCGTGTAAACATTTTTTCTCGAGTATTTACCAATAAAGAAAAACACGAAAAACAAATGTTTATATAAAGGCAATGCTGAGGGAAAAGTTTAAAATTTTCAGAGGCTTATTGCATATTATAGGCAATAAAACTTCAGCAAGATATTACCAGAAACCTCATTTATTCTGATAATTGTAATAGCAATACATGAATGAATCCAAAATCAGGGTTTCTTGCAGGTTTATTAGCAGCAAAATCCATCGGCGAATGAGTTTGTGATGGGTTACTGCATGCTTGAGTTATTTGATCAACCAGATTGCTGAAGTTGCTTGATGTGTGTGATCTGTTTCCCTGGGTTCAATCCCTTTGGACAGGCACGAGCACAGTTCAGGATTGTGTGGCATCGATAAAGCTTGAACTCATCATTAATGGCTTCAAGTCTTTCCTTAGTGTACTCATCTCGGCTATCGCTTATCCACCTGCATATGCGAAGAAGCTATACAGAGTCATTGGAAGAATTATTTGCAAGATCAGAACTTTAATCTAATGACACAGATTCAATCAGATATTTGAAATTGCGGTTCTCAACAGAGAAATTCGTAGAGGGATGATTAGTCCGTAGCCCCTTTAGAGCTCCTCCATTTCAGTTGAGCAAAGAACTAATCTACACTACAACTAAATGGCACGAAGAGTCATTCGAAGAAGTACTTGAAAGAGCAAAACTTTAACTTAATGGACACAGGTACAAATACGATAGTCCTTAACAACTTCCTTTAGAGGTCTGGTTTCCTCCATTTCACTTGAAGAAAGAGCTAAACTGCACTACTAGTCGTTCACATAATAAACAAATGTAAACTACCAACAAGCCATGCAATCAAATTACATACAAAATTCTTAAGCAAATTCCTGAAGCAAAAGGAGCAGCTAATGAAGCATAATCAGTCATTTCAGAGCTTAAACTGCTAAAACAACTTATGTGACCATATATAATGAACTAGAGTAAACTACCAACAAGCCATACAATCAATCTGCCAAGTCTAATTCCCTAAACCTATACAATTCCTAAGCAAATAACCAAAGTAAAACGAACGCCTAAAGAAACACAATGAGTCCTTAGCACAGAGCTAAACTACACCTAAAGAAGCTAAAAAAAAACCAAAGTGACCATATATAAACTACCAACAAGCACTACACATTCTTCACAACATAATATATTTTCTTTTTACATCAATTCACAACAACATAACCAATCTAAATGATTAAATTTAAACTATAAAATTCTTAAACAGATTCCCCGAAACACCTTCATTAAGAAATTCCAAAAGCAGAACAAACACCTAAAGAAGCACACTGAGGTCCTTCAGAGCTAAACCACAACTAAAGAAGCTAAAGCAACTTAAGTGACCATATAAATGACGTACTAATGTAAACTACCAACAAGCCATACAAAATCTTCACAACATAATCAATCTTCTTACTTAAACCCATCAAATTCTTAAGCAAACCCCCAACGCAGAACACCTTGATTAGTGTATTAGATTGTAAAAACCCATAATTTGTTTACCTATTGGCGTGTAGCAAAGCAGCTGGGCCAAGATAAGACTCAGGGTTCCACCAATAGCTAGGACAAGAAGTGCTACAACAAGCACAAAGAATGCATTCATACATTCCATCAAGCTTAGCTCTATCTTTCTTACTCTGCAAAATCTCCTTCCCAGGAACAGAAGCTGGATTCTTCCTCTTCAACCATGGCTCAATACTCTTATACTGATTATAAAAATTCGTCATATCCACCACAAGATCCTTAATCACAAACATATGCGGCAAAGGCGTAATCGTCGTCTCCGAAGAACCAGATTCAATCTTCGTTAAACAAGCGAGACCGTTACATCCATCGATGTTCATCGCGCACGAACCGCAGATACCTTCTCGGCACGATCGACGGAAAGTGAGAGATGGATCCATTTCGTTTTTGATCTTAATCAAAGCATCTAGAACCATAGGACCACAATCCTTGAGATCGATTTTGTAATCCTGAAGCTCAGGCTTACCAGGATTATCTGGATTCCATCGATAGATCTGGAAAGTCTTTAGGTTGGATCCTCCGCCGCCGGTAGAAGCTTTTGTTTGTGCTTCTGGTCCAGATGATGATGTCCATCTCGCCGGAATCAATCGCGCCGCCGTGGATAACCTCGACGGCTTCGTTCCAACAACTCTTCCGATCAAACCAAACGCCATAATCTCGGAGGGAGAGAGCAAAATGAAAGTGAAATTATTGAGAAATCAGAAATAGCTTTTAGTCTATATCGTTATCATGACCGTTGATCAAAAGCTAAAACAATCCTGACCGTTCATGAATATCGAATCACAAAACTAATGGTAATGCATATGTTATCAAAACGCGCGTGCCCGCCTCGAGGACTGTGAAACGCGAAAAAACATCCCGTTTCGATACAATAGACAAACAATTCGTGCCGTTTTAGATATTTCTCAAACTGTCTGTTTGTGCCTCGACACATTCATTAACTCTATAATGGGTCGTGAATGAATTTTCATTGATCATTTTTTTCTGAAAACATAGACACTATTAATATGAAAAAATTCGACCAAGCTACGCCTACAATAACTTAATTAATCATTGATTGTTGGGATATTAATTCAAGTCTCACATTACAATTCAACACAAACATATAAACATAAATTGACACCAAGATTTAATGAGTTCTCTTCCGCATCTCGTGTGAGAATCTTCTCCCACAAACATCCACTATCATTGAGTAAAAAATGATAACAAAATTATCTTAACATTTAGACCCACAAAAAAAATGATACGAAAATTATGTTACAAATCTTAATATTAATACAAATCCTAAATGTTTATGAGTACCGACTCAGGTCAGGTCCGCCCAATGGATGTGTACTTACACGTGGCAATATATTTGATGAAATCACCCAATATAGAAGGAGGAAAGCATCCCGTTTCAATATAATAAACAGACAAATCGTGCCGTTTTTAGCTATTCTCAACCTCTTTTACGTATTCTCAAAGTTTCAAAGTCAATAACACACCTCTCTATATTTAAACCTTTCAGAAAAACGCTAATCCGTTCTCAAACTTCAACTTATTTTAACGTAAAATCAAATAAATCCTTTTAGACAACAAAAACAAAAGACTAACAAATTTTCCTTTTAGACAAAACAAAAAAAACTAAATAACAACAAATTTTCTTATTGTTTGAAGATCATTATCATCTCATCTCATGTCCTGTTTGCATCTTTTACACAACAATCTTTGAATGGCATCGGTAAGATCTTTTTTTATCTTTTCCACCATTTTTTTTTTTCACATTTGCTTTCAACATCTAAATCGTCAAGGAAAAAAAAACATTTCTATGAGTTTTTCATTGATTTCCTTTGGAATAAAATAGAGAAACCATTGATACATAATTGAGATTTTGTTATGTTTTGGAATTATCTCATATATTCAGAATAATCAACCGCGACAACAACAAGATCGGCCATTACCAAAATTTGGAGAATGGGATGTGAACGATCCAGCATCCGCCGAAGGATTCACCGTTATATTCGCTAAAGCTCGAGACGACAAAAAGACAAACGCTAGTGGTCGTGCCGCCTCGCAACGCCGTGATAACAACAATAACGGAGGCCAAGCAGCACCTACGGTAACATTTCTTTTCTTCTTCATATAGGACTAGTGTGCACAACGGAAAACATTAGCCTTTATTCGTTATGTCTTTGAAACTATGAGGACTAAAGTGAAACAAGAAATTAAAAGC